CTGCCATGAGATGATGAAGGTCAGGAGTATAAGCAGGCTTAAAAGGCAATTTGATAAATTAATGGAGAAAAGGTCCAGCGAGGGTTACCTGCCACAGCACTGTGGGTACAGCAAAATCCCTCTATCACAGGCTGGTAGATGCTGAGTGTGTACACAGAAGAACTGTACTGGCTGTGTTTCTCTACTCTAAGCATCCCCTACTCATCACTCATGGTAGGAGCATGGCCAGATGGACTTTTAACCTGACCCAGCCTGACTGTTCTCATGTGTTTAACCGGGCTGACATTGCCTGCAGTGTGTTTGAGTCGAGTCACACAATCAGCCCTGACAGCAGCGCTGTAGAGGTGGTGCAGTGCCTGGGAAAAGGAATAGCTGTTCACAGCTTGCTTTTCATTCATGCTGGCAAAGCTCAAGCCCCAGTGACTGCTTCATATTGAATCGCCTACACTAAAACAAAAATACGAAGCAAATCACATAGGCAGTTAGGTTCTGACAGAAGTAATACAAAAGAAAAGGGGAAGGCTGGCTATGCATACATATATGTAAGAACAGAGGCAACCCAGAAGATCTCAAATATGGAGTTAATACATTGCAAAAGTCACATTATTATAAATTATTATACATTATTATAAATAAAATGCAAATGACACATGAAAAAATCAACAGAGTTTGCCAATTCAAGAATGGCATGACTAAAATGTATCTAATTATATAGTGGAAACCTGAATTTCATTCATAAGGGGGAGAAAAACCACACACAAGTTCTAGGGCATTTGTGGCTGCCCTGCCTTTCACTGTGGGAGGGAGAAGCACCCACATACCTGCCAGTGCTTTTGCAGTGCCTGAGGAGAAGCTGAGTCACCATCTTCCTACCTCATCCATACCCTGTCAGCTATTATCTTAATTACCCCCTGTATTCATAAACACAAAGACAAGAGCCACGCTCTTATCAATTGATCCTTTGCACAAACAAAGTTATAGAAATTCCTTTTTCTGTAAAGGGATTTGCTGGGTGATGCCATGGGGTGCAGCTTGGCTTGTGCTCAGAAATGCAAGGCATCTTGTTTGTGGATGGGATTAACAGCAGTACAGAGCATCTACATGACAGGTTTTGATCAGTCCACATGTACCCATGTAGCTTTGCCACCAGCTAAAGCCTCCAGCCTTAGGCTATTTGCTGCTTTTTATCCTTGTTTTAACTACCATCTCTAACACATAAGAAACATGTCATGAGCCATGACAAGCAATTGAGATAAATGCCAACCTTTGTAAACCTTCAGAAGGGAGGCTGCATTTGTGTTTCAGCACATTTGCAGAAGCTATCAGAAGCCAGCAAGGTATAAATAAACAAAACAATTTAATGCTGAGTGCCTACAATTAAAGGAAAAGTTCCTTTCTGCTCCAGTTATTTGCTTCCCCAAGACCTTTTCCCAAACCACAGAAGACAGCATTTAATCTATTTATTTCTAAGGTTAAGCAATAATTTTTTCAATGCATTTTTATAAGCCACAGAGAAGTGCACAAGTTCATTTCCCCCTCCTAGGTCACCTTTATCATGAGAGCTTTATTCTAATGAAATATATACGTGATTTCAAGTCAACAGTGTTACCGAGGTCCATCAACACTTCAGAATTACAGACGCTTATTTTACCCTGGTTTAGTTTTATTTGCAAAGAAACTAAAAGTGCTGAGCTCCCTCTGCATGAAGGCTCTCAAGCATGTCTCTGTCAGCATATGCCTTGTTATCAGAGTGGTATACTTGGAGTACACATCTGGAATATGAAAACAGAGCTTTTTTCCCACAGCACAGAAGTCTTTAATTTTTCAGGTTCTTCATTTTTCTTTCACCATCTGCCAGTTTTATGAATTTCTCCTATTCTTCTACACCACAATAAAAAACAGAAGAACAGCTCTTGGGGAAAGGCATTCTACCCCACACCCTGCTGGTGTTTTATTTTCTGGTAGCATACATTCTCCATCAAGTCAGATCCTGTACTAGCAAGAATTTGATACTCTGCCCTACCCCACAGCAGGCTCAGGTCTCTATCTCGGTATTTGTCAGCAGATAGAGCGTGGAAATGTCTGCCACAACCAGAACCGTAATAGTTGCAATTACTACCTGTCACATACATATACTAAGTAGCAAACCCAAGCTCCATTTAAACAAAAACAAACTGTTTAATTCAGGTAACCAAAGGCAGTACTTGCCCCCCACCCCCACTCCAAACACAGTGAACCTTCCTACTTGAAATCTCTTCACCTCTTGCACAGGGAGCTGTGGTGTTTAGGTGTTTGTGTAGTGCTTTCCATGCAACTTAACCTAGTGATGACTACAGCAGTTCTAGACAAATAATGTAAAAACTTAAATCAGCCAGTTTTTCTAGTACAATTAAATCATTGCGAAAGGTTTCTCTAAGAGCAGAAATTAAACTATTTCAGGAACACATATAGTCCTTGCATTCAGCAAAAAATTCCCTTTTTTTTTTTTTTTTTTTGGATAGGCAGAGAGGGATACTCTAGGAAAGCTTTTGGTTGATTAAACCAATTACCCTCAGCAGCCAGGTCCCAGACAGCAGGTTTGGACCATGCCCATCGTCTGCCCTCCCCACTCATGAATCCCAGGGTGGATGAGCCAGGCTCCCACGCCATTCACACCAGCCTGGAAGCTACCCAGGGCAGCTGGCCCAAAAAGCCATGTTCCACTCTTTTCAAGCCAAAATAAACTCTTTGTCTGACTTTTGGTGGCATATTTCCTGGAATTATATGGAGTCTTGGAGAGGATTAGAGGAACAATATCTTTGAAAGATACTGTGGCTTACAGCTCCAGAAGTACTTTCTCTGAAACGTGCTTCACTTCACCAGGCACAGCAGACCAGAGCTTGATTGCTCACAGTAACTGCTACACTGTGAATTTAACCACCAGCAATAAAATAAAGGAGCATAACCAACCACCCTAATTTACTCTGCACCTACTTTACTAAAGGCATTAACTTAAATTAGACCTTACAGTTATGCCTGATCATACTCCCATTTTTTACAGGCATCCAAGATGGGGCATAAAGAAATGCAAATTTCAACTACAAGCATGCACTAGTTAGACTGACTAAAGAGTTATCTTTTGTTCAGATCTGAACAGATATTTTAAGTGTTTACATTAAAGTATTAGGAAAGGCTGGACAGCACTGCAAAGCTCTATAAGTAAGCTTTGGTTTTTTAAAGCTGTGATTTTTAACTGAAATATTTCTACCTGTTCATTGAGGATTGCAGTTACACCATAAAAAGGAGACTTCAAGAGATATTCTCCTTTTGGATTTTCATCTCTTGCACCTCATTCCTAATCCAACACCCACCCCATTTTCTACTCTAACAACCATCCACCAAAAGGAAATAAGAGATACTTCAAGCTAAAATCAACTCTTCTATTTATAGTTTGTAGCTGTAGTAATATTTGCTGACAGAACTGCTTAAAAGCAGAGAGATTTATGATACCTCCATAAACAGGAAGTAAAAGTACATGGCACCATGCTCAGCCCACTTAGCAGCAAAACAAAATATTATCTTCAGCACTTCTTTAAAATAACCTGTTTTCCTCTGCACTGAGCCAGAGCAGAAGCATTTCCATGTTCAGTCATTACAAGTCAGGTGGGACTGGGGTGACACCAGGTAAGGGCAAGCAGCTGAGGGGTGTTGACATCATAAAGTACTACAGCACTTTCAGAAGCAAAGCTTCCACACAGAAGCAATTCAGGTCTGAATTCACACTCACATTTGTGTTTGCTTTCCACAGATTTACACTTATAGATGAGTGCGGGTATAACTTATGGGTACTTCTATTTCCAGAAAAAAAATGGCATCAAACTATGTCTAGAATATTTTTTTAATACTTACATTTTCACAAGAAAATATTTGCAGGTACACCAGCCATATCTTCTTGGTGTCTCCAGTCTGTGATACCATGCTGGGTGTTGTGCATGTGTGTAGTAAATTTTGTGCTGTACTTGTAAGCCACAGACTGACAGAGATGCAGTACAATGAACAAGTCAGAAAATAGCTCAAGAAGTACAAGACCTGTGACTTTGATTTCTTGAAAAATCACTGAAAATCACAAGAGATGCTCAGTGAAAATGCACTCAAAGACCTCAATGGTTTTGGGAACATGCTAATAATTTAAGGCCACTCCACCTCTGTTTTACTTTAGAAATACATTCAACTTGGTGCAGAAGACACTGCAGGAAGACAGCAGAGTTAACCCTGTAAAGAGCCAGGTCTGGCCAGGTAGGTTCTGTTGGTTCCTGTGCAGTGCCTGGAAAACACAGCTTCCTTGCCTCCTTCCTTGCCCCAGCAGTGCAGACTCTGCCTGCTGAAGCGCCTGTGCTACCAAACCCTGATGGAGCTGAGATGGCCACGTATTTCAGTGCCTTTGCACTGTGTCACCAGCATTTGCTGGGAATGCTTTTACTGTCAGAGACTTCCAGTTATCCAATTGCCCTTCCCCTGCTCCTGCCCTGATCAGAGACTTGCCTCTCCAGCCACAGAGGTGTACATGCAGGAAAGAATGCCTTCATGCATGAAGTTGTCCTTTTGCTTAAGCAGTAAGAAAAGCACCTGGCTGGGCCAGTAAAAGGCAGAAAAGATGATGGCATGAGATACTGGATGATAAAAAGAAAAAAAAGCAAAATGACCAACTTATTTGTCTTAAATGTAAGTCAAATAAAGACATCAGCTTTTTTATATAAAGCACAAGCCTAGAGAAAATAGTGATTTTGGCTAGAAAGAGACCCAAGTTCTACTGTAACACTGATTTTATTAGCTAGGTGTTAGACGTAATGAGCTGGATGGAGAGAAGCTTAACTGTAATTGCATTGTGCTGTATACACAGATTCTCCATCACTATCTTTTCTTTCCCATATTAAAAAGACAGCAGTGACAATTCAGATACTTCAAAAATTACAAAAGGGAACAGTATTACAAAAACCCCTCTGAAGTTCAGCCTGACTCACCTGACTTCCTTGCTTTCAAGGCAATGACAGCAGCCAGTTCTCTCTGTACCTAAAATATCAGGAAAAGAAAAGGATGGTTATAGCTCCTAGCACAGACAAATAAAACAAAATGCAACCCTGGTAAGATAAAAGCTATCAATGCTTTGCAGCAATCAACTGCATGTGGAATTATGCCTGGTTTTGAAACTACAGTCAGTTTTCCTAGCAAATCTCCTTTTCAGCTGGGAATTCTGTGACTTCAATTTCATTTAAATACCCCACATTCCTTAGGGAGTGGGCAATTCAGTAGCCTGACCTGTAATTTATTTGCACAGCATATCTCTTTCACAAGTACACACTTGAATCTTCTCCCTTCCCTTGTTACATATTTGTTTTGCCTCTGATGAGCACACTGTAATGCTGGATTTATTGTGTGACTCCAGAATAAGAAAGTCCTTCATGCTGAGGTTTGACAGAGGTTCCTCCTGTATATAATTGGCCTTCACTTTTTCGATCTTCCAGGAGGAAACAACCTCTCCTGGTAGCATGGCTGAGAATTTCAGAACGAAAATTTCACTTGACATGAAAATGCAGAAGTCAGGGCTATTTTCAGTTTTACAGGGTCCCTCACTAGCCTGTGGCAACACAGCCCTGTCATGCTAACCAGCTCCCTTCTTCATCCTTTTGTCTCTGCATACTTCATATTCTCTGTATAGACCAGCTATTCTCTCTTTAGCCAGCTCAACTCAACGTTCACTTCTCCCCATAGGTCTATTCTTTTTTATGTAATTTCTTTTTCTATAACTTTTCTATATATTATTCTCATATGCTTCTTGCTTCTTCACTGCCATAATCTGTCCCACTGCAGCTGCTTGCACTTGGCCTACAGCACCAAATGCTCTCTGCTACATACACCTTACAATTTCCCCAATTTTCCCAAGACAGGTTGTCTTCAGTATTTAAAAAAAAAAATATATATATATATATATATATATATACACACACACATATATATATATATATATATATAAGGCACATTCCAACTTTTTCTAGGGATTGTCTCACCTCTCTGGACAAAGTCTCCAGCAGTGCATACTAGCCATCTTGTCTAACAGACCTAGGCAAGGCTCAAGGCCCTTCTGCAGTGGGAGGTTTGACATGCAGTTTCTGAGAGCCATGAAATTTCAAACATCATTCTCAAGATATGTGGCTCAGTCATAAGTCACAAAGCCCATAAAGGATTCTCAAAGTAATACAATTACTAACAACTGTTGTTGTCCCACTCTCATGACTCCGAAGAGAAGTTTGAAAATGTGAAAGAGGAATAGTTAGCATTATACAGGTCTGAGAAGAAAGACAGACAAAATTCACTCAGGGCATCTCAGTACAATGGTAACTGCAGCACCCCCTGATTTCAGATCCTTGGGAGCCACACAGCAGTACACTCTGCATGTGGAAGAAGCCAGTCACACCAGAGGCCACATCCTTCCTCTGCTTGCATCCTTCTTTCCTTTATGGCAAAGCACCAAAAAGATTTTTCTGCTGTCCTTGCAAGGGAAAAGGATCTTTTCTATTCCTTGATGCTGCCCTACTGAGAGGGGCAGAGTTCTCTGCCACTCCAAGCAGGAAAATATGAATGCAGTGCCATGGTTTTCTTAAATGTCATCCTGTTTCCAGCACAATTGTGCAAGCTGGCAGTATTACCTTCCCTTCCTTCCTTCCTGTACACTCATTCCCATGTCTGGAGAAATATTAATCATGGATAATGTAAGCATAAACTTCAAGTAAAATGGGAAAGAACAGAAAAACAACTCCTGTGCTTCCTTGCAGCAATTACTACACACGAGTATTACAATAATACACACAAGCTATCTAATAATGAACAGGATTTTCAATAAAAGCCCAATTTGTTTCTGAACAACAACACCATGACTTTTCATGGCTACACTTCTCAGACCCTCTCCCTTCACTAAACTCAGAAAGAGGTACCCATGTCAATGCCTCAATTCTGGTCTATTGTCACAGGTTACTGACAGTAAGAAGCATTTCACTGATGTATCATCTTTATCTTTTAGCGTTTAATAAATACATTATCTTAATATTATGCTTCTCTAGTGTTAACAGTAAGCAAAAGTTCCCTCATCAAAGTGTTCCATCAGGACACTGAGCTCCCTCTCATAGGATTCACTCCGATCACAAAGAATTGGTACTGCTGAGCATCCTTTTGGATTTGATTGGTGCCCCTAGATTTCATAATCTATATGCTTTTGCCTATTTTAGCATAAATGCACTTCACATCCCTGCTGGACATGCAATTCCTCTGCATCTTTACACCAATGGAAATCCATGTATAACACTCACTCCTGACTGCACACATGCTACCCATTATCATGCTTCTTCCTAATAGGATTTCAGTTACTGCCTGTTTGACAAAATCGATAGCCATACATCACACTGAAGACAATAGACACAAAATAAAATATATAAACAAGAACTATGCCTACCATACTGACATATTAAATTTTTAAAAAATGTTTTATACATACAGCTTGTTGCTACAAAGCTAACACTATCCAAACAGTACCCCATTTGAGTAGCATTGAAGATGCCAAAACTGATTCAGTTTAAAGGTGAGTTCACCATACAATTTTTATAGAAATATTATGAAAGTCTGAAAGTGAACATTTTGAGTGGGTAGTTGGCAGGTTACCACATCTCAATCAGTTTTCTTTCTGCAATACAGAAGAGTATGCACAGAAAGTGATACCCGGGTATACTTTCTCCTGATTAAGTACAAATGGCTCATTTATATGGTGAATCTTGTTTCCAAAGAATAGAGAATTGTAAAAAATAATTGACAACTCTTCTCGTATCACAATCGTACAATTTTTTCATAGTGGACATAATTGTGCATCTAGCAGTCAGTTCATACCACTTTTTTCCTTTCTCTTTTTTCTGCCCATAGTAGTTTTTTGTGAGACAGTAGTCTCCATACCATTGTGCCAAGCAGGACTTCAAATCTAGAGACAAGATGCCAATCCGTACAGAAACTCAGAATGAAATCCTGCAACAGAAGGCTCTAAATGGCAGGGTTTTGAAAAACAGTAAGAGTCTGGTTCACATTTTTGCATCTCAAGTTATGATATTTTGCTGGGCTCTAAATAAAAGTAATAGTGGCTGATGCTTTAAAGTACCAGAAAACTATTTTCCAGATACACCTCATTAATATCCTGACATCTTCTGTTTCATCACAAGGTAAGGTAAAAAGGCTTTGCAGTGGAAACACTCGTAGCTATCCCACCATGTTCTGCTTTTAGCACACAAAACGCTGAATTTGAAGCTGCTCTTTGGGACAACATGGGATGAATGACAGCTCTGGAATGCTTTTTTTAAACCCATGAGTAATCATCACATTTTTTTTTAAATTCATGACCAAAAAACATTATCTGATGCAAATGTATTTCTAATGGCTTTTTGCACTGCTTGCAAATTTTGCACTGCTTGCCTTTAGAATTTAAGTTTGATGGTTTTGTTGGTGCCTCATGTAATGGAGCATATGACATAAGCACATAATTTGATAGATTAAAAGAGGGATTTATATTTTAGGCACACAGATTCCTCCACTTTTGAGGGTTGGATCCTCACAGTCAGTGTACATTTGAAAATTTGGAATGGAATCCCTGAAAAAAAAAAAAAGCTGACACAGAAACTTTCTTCTGACCCCAAAAAAATGTTTCGTTCCATGAAAAGCAAAAAGAAAAGTAGAAGAGACAGCAGTGGGATTTGCATCTCCATTAAAAAGTAATCTTTAATCTTCAACTGCTTTAGTGCTGGGCGAGAAGTAGGGATGATTTTGTGGGTTTTTTCACACTTCTGAAATTCTGGTGTGAAGAGTATCATGAGCAGGATTTTCAATTATGAATTCTTAAAGAAGAATGGTTTAATTTTGTACAAAATACATAAACATTCAGCGAGCCAAAAAGGCAAAATTGTGAATACATTTCCAGTAATAGCTAATAACTTCACTTTCAGTTTCCAGCTCCTGATTACAAAAAAAAAGAGAACCTAGACACTGGACAGTCCAGCCCTCTGTTTAATGGTGTGAGCTGAGGCTTCAAATTCTTCTGGGACTTAAAAAGACTTCCCATAAGGTTGCAGTGAGTCTTTTAGGTCCCAGTCTACTGTATGGAGGAAAAACAATATTCTGGAGGGATAAACAGGAAAAATTCATATATAGATGCTAAAATTTGGAGGATTCTGCTCTGGTCTTGTGCCTTTTCCCCAGGGGTAGACTAGAAAATCATTATAGAGGCACTACAAAGTTCTTTGGAAAATCAGAAAATGCAGGAGAAAAGATCAGATTCTTGATATCACCATGACAATAGATGGGCCTCAGACCATCTGGAGATGGAACTGCCTAATTTTTCTTTAGCTAGTTAGCTACAGTAATAAAATGGGTCATTTAAGAAAACCCTGTCCAGGTGCCCTACTGCTGGAGTGACTCAGGATGTAATTCACAGTTTCGACCTCGCAGATGTGAAACACTCTGAACTCACTGTCAATTAGGTGTTTAAGGACATGCATGTTACCCAAGTGCATGCAGCTAGATCCAGTTCTTGAACTCAAAAGGCCAGTTTATTTTCTTGAGCATATCCCTTTTTTACAACTGACAAAACTCCCATTATTCTAATTTTGACAGGCAAAGCTTTTGAGGAACACTGGCAATGTTTTATAGAGTTGGTGTTCTGCAAGTGTTTTAAAAAAGTCTTTCACAGTTTTCTATTTTTGATCTATATGGTAACAAAAATGGAGGATATTGAGGTTCTGAGTTCACCTTTCATTTTCAGTTAAGAAAAAAAGTAGAGAAAACAAGGAATTTGAATATTCAGACAATAAAAAAAAGGTATTTAAAACACAGCATTTGCTTATGTCATACATTTTAAAATATTCTTGAATAAAGTTGAATATACAGAATCACTAGCTTTCCAAACACATTATTAGATATCTTTTGAAAAGACAATTGTCTTTAAAAAAGACAGCAAAAATTCTCCTTTCCTCCCATTTTCCGGTAACTGCAAGATAGCACTTTACTTATTTTTCTTAAAATAGCTCTTATCCTCATGCCTTTTTCATAAAAGCTTTACCTTGCTTGCTTCATTTTTGTCACTGTACTTTCTCACATGCCAAAACCAGAAATAACACTAATTCCATGTTTTGATGATACCGTGACTTAGGTGCAGTGTTCACAGAACTGCTCAATCCCAGAGTGGTGGAGGTAGGAAAGCACCTCTGGAGATCATCTGACCCAAACCTCTGCTGAAAATCATGGCCAGCTAGAGCCTGTCCATCAGGTATTTGTACACATCAATAAGGTCCTCCCACAGCCTTCTGCTCTCCAAGCCCCACTCCCCCTTCTGTCAGACTCCTTGTAAGTCAAGTCCTCTATTCCCCAACCATCATCATGGTCATTTGCTACACTCCAGGACATCCATATCTCTTGCACTGGGAGGTCAGAACTGGACCCAAGACTCCACATCTGGAACACCAGTGCTGGGGAGAGGGGAAAAATCACCTGCCTTAGCCTAAGGACAGTGCTCTTATTAATGCAGCTCAGAAAGCACTTTCTTTCTTTCTTTGCCACAAGGGCATGTTTCTGGTTCAACCTGCTGTCTACCAGGACCCCCAGGTCCTTTCCTGCAAAGCTACTTTTCAGTTAACCCCCTGTCTGTATAGAATCATGAAGTTATTTCTCCTAGATGCAGGATATTGCGTTGTCCTTTGCTGACTTTCCTGAGATTCCTGTTGGCCCATCTCTCCAGACAGTCAAAGTCCCTCTAAGTGGCAGCACAACCATAGAATCATAGAATTATTTTGGTTGGAAAAGACCTGTAACATCATCAAGTACAGCTGTTAACCCAGCACTGCCAAGTCCCCACTAAACCATGTCCCAGAGTGCCACATCCACACATCCTTCAAATACCCCCAGGGATGGTATGGAATGGACCCACCACTCCTCCCAGTGTTGCATTGCTTGCTAATTTTCTGAGGGTGCACTCTGTGCTCTCATACAGATTACATTAAATTGAGTCACTTAACTTTCTGAAGTCCTGTCTGTGTGCTTCCTAGAACAGTGATCTCACAAGATAAACAAGATGCACCACACTCTAGCACAGACAGAACAAGCTATTGTTTATTATGGTGAAGTTTACTGAGGCTAAACGTAGTTGGGAAGCTCAGGTTTCCCAGGTGGGTCTCCTCAGAAGTTTATGATAATCTACACAAGAGCTGCTAAAGACTTTTCTCTCCCTTTGTCTCCCACTGATGAACACTTGATCAAGAGGGTCTGAGTATAAAGCACATCACACAAAAGTCACCTTGGTCCTCCAAGTTGGTATCTTCTGGGCCATGAATACCATCTAGTACAAGAGCAGGCTGCTGCAGTCCTTGCTTGTGTTGATTTTAACAGCTTTGGAATTGTACACTAAGACCTCAGTAAAGCTCTCCCTTTCCAGAGACTAAAAAAGCAGTCTACATATACAAACATCTGTTCACTTAGACTAAGTCTTTAATTTAAAAGGATCCAAAACATGACAATATTTCAAACATGATCATTCAAACTTTGATGCAATGACCTTACCGCAGAAGTGAGACGAGCAAGAATTTCAGCATTGGTTTCTGCTGTATCTTCTATTTTTTGATCAGGCCTTAAAAAATAAAAATAAGATTTTATTATTTCTTTCATTCTGTTTCAACATCTTTTGATTCCTGGAAAGTAAGGAACTGTGTAGCCACAGGCACTAATGTAAAAGGGCCTTTGAGACTCCACATCAAAATGAGGACTGCAGCATGACAATAATTAATCCTGTCAGTAACGACAGAGTACACCCTTTGTCCCTTGCTGTCAAGAACTCTTTTGATCCAACCAACATGAAGCAGTGAGAGCATTCCTTAGCTATAAAAATATGATGAAGAACTGAAGAATGCAGGACCCTTTAGAGCAGAGTTGCTTATTTGACTGCATCTTTTGCTTTGCTAAAAACTTACTCTACAAATTGACCAAAGCGTTTTCTATCTGCCCACCACCCAGCTTTGCTATGGTGTGGAGCAGTACCTATGGAATACTTCATGTAGATGAAAACAGACAACACCAAAATAATTTCGTGACAAGTGAAATTTGATATTCTGAAAAAAATAACTGAAAGTGAAAATAATACATTTCAGAAACCGTAAATAACCAAACTAAAGCAACAGCTGAGAACAATATTAGGTTGTCTTGAGAATAACTTGCAAGAAAGAGACTTAATGTGTCTTTTCAAAAGTGAGGCAGTAAAGGTAGAATCCTCCTAGAAACCATCCCAGAAGTCTGGCCCATGTGGAAATAACCACACAAAAGTGGACAGTACAGGATAAGTTGTGTTTTTCTTTAAAACAGTCTATTTCCCATCACTAAAACATCTGTAAGACTTTCAGTAGCTTTATGGACAATCAGAAGCATTATAGCAATATAATAGGGTTATAACTACAGGAAGAAGTAAGAGAAAATGCCCTTGAGATCTTTACTTTTCATGGTATTCAAGAAGCATGCCAGCAAGCTGAAGAGATACACAAAACTGCAGCTGCTGAAATAAACATAAATCCCAGGTACTAGCAGAAGCTTCTGTCTTTGACTAAATTATTTAATTGCTTATATGCCTTGATGTCCTCAGGGAGAGAGCTGGCAAGACATCTGGAATATGCAGCTGGTATATTGTGATTCTTACATCCCATGTCCAAAAATTTCATTCCCTGATAAAAAATTAAGGTCAGAAAGCACACCATGACACGTGTTCATTCTCGGGTAAGCAAATTCAGCTCAAAATGATAATTCAGATTAAAATCACAGTTATTTTCACAACTGCCTTTCCTATTTAAAGAAAATGTGATTTAACATTTTAAGTGTTATAAACAGCCCAAAAGAAATAAATGAATGCATTTTCATTTACAAAGACTGATTTATTTAGATTTTCTCTTTATACTTTGAAATGACACTAAAATAACTGAACTTTTTAGATGTTTCTCTACACATCTGTTCTCTTCAGATCTCTCAGAACCAGGACCTGATTCATCTAAACTGGAGGCAGAAGATGGCAGCTCAGCAGACACGGCCACAGATGCAATCTCTAAGCCTAGAACAGCACATAACACAGCTAGTTCCTTCTTGGGCCTTTATCACTCCATTTTCTGTTTAAAAATACTCCCAGTATTCATCTGCATATGATCCTCAAATACTTCTGAAACAATGAATACTAAAAATTAGAGTCAGCTCTTCAGAATCAGAGAGGAGTATATTATGACACCCAGGCCAATGGAGAAAAGCAACAGGTATCAGCCTAATTTTTTCAAAAGTGGACAGCTAGGACCCAGTGAGTCTGGTACCAAACAGGAGCTACAAAGCCCAGGCAAATGGGTGCTTATACAATTCAGTGATCTGTGGGCCCAGTCTGCTAAGCAGAGTGAGATGCAGGGATGCTTGTCCTAGATCTGCAAGCAGGAAAGTCAGTTTCCATCCAATACCTGAGAGCTGTTTGTGCTCAGCAAAAGCTTTCCAGGAACTCCATAAGGCAGTAACTAAATCAATATCCCATCCTGGCTATTTGCATGAAAACCAAATTACTTTTAAGAATGGTTACTTTTCTGATATTAATATAATGAAATTTTTTTCAGGACAGAAGACAGAAAATAAAGTGCAACACTCCTGAAAATAAAAAAAACAATGTAAGATGAAGAAAAAAAAAACAAACTCTGCTAACATACCTTTAAATGATTTTTAAAAGTATTATGGGATACATTTCAACAGTATCAGCTACTGAGTGCATTCTTGAAATGTTCCCTGAGTCTACCAGTGGTTCTGGGAATTGTTATAAACACTCCCATTTACAAGGAAGGAAATAGAAGCACACAAGGATTACACACCTGATACAACACCATCGCAGTAACTGGAAAAGAATTCAGGAGGCATTGAATAAGAGCCTAAGTGATTGCTTAGGGCTGTAAGGGAGCCCATGGCACAGCTTTCAATTCAGATTTTTTGTTCCCAGGGTACTGCTATGTTCACTTATTTTCTACTCAAGTAGAATGACTGTGATTAACACTGGGTGTTTAACGACCCCAAGAAGCCTCTTCATTTGTCCCATCTAATTTGACAACATTTACAGGGTCTGAATCCTGTGGAATACACACAATATTAGCCTTCAGATTAGCGTGAGCAGCTGAAAATCTGCTATGTCCTGACTTGTTTTCCATGGTGAATCCCACCAATGTTATGTTGAATGTAAGGAATTTCCACCAAGGCCAATGGGGAGCATTTATTCAGGAATCATAAGCACATCTCAGATTTCAGAACAGTATTTTCACTGTAGAGTTTTCTGTAGTAGTTTGGTAACACCACTAAAAGCGCCCAGGAACAAACACAGATCCATCAAAAATCTGTACAGCAAATCAAATCTGAGCTATGTTTATTTAACAGGGTTTCCAGAATAGCTGCTGAAGGAAGTCCCCAGAGCTGCTATTGCCTGCTCAGGTCTACAGACTCCTTCTGTTCTGAGAGCAGGACCATGGTACTCCACAGACTCACTGATGCACCCAGGAGCCCAGGCAAGCACAAGGCTGCTGCCCACAGCTGCAGAGGAGACAGAGGTCATCTGGCCTCTGGGACCACCAGGAGACATCCAATGCTCCCTTCTGGTGCACAAACAGGCAGCTGCTTCTGATCCAAAGCAGGGAATTTAATTCATTTAATTAATGAAGTAAGAATTTTTCTATCCCTATGTATAGAGTTAATGCAGTTGATATAGATTGTGAGAAAAGCTAAGACAGAAAAATGAGTACAAAAATATTAAATTATAAAAAAAAATCCTGTGCTTCTAATGGTATGCAAAACAGTTTATATATTCAAGAAAAGACAAACCCAGCAGGGAAAGGTTTTTAGAATTGCTCTCCTTCCTCATGAAAAGGAGTATATGGCTTTATTTAACCAGGTCAGACAACTTTAACAAACATCTCATCACACCTATTCCCTTTCTGACTGTATTCTAGTAGTTTATTATTTACATCAAGCATGAAGAATTTTGAAGCTGGAAAAATCTCCTTGTGCTTTAATATCACATTCCCTCAAGGGTGTACCATTATTTAAAATTCAATTCCTACAATATGTACTTTTTCAAAAAGCACCCTCACAATCTGACAGGTAAAAGCTCCAGAAAACAATTTTTCAGTGACAATATTCCCAAAAGGAACCCAGCTTCAACTCAAATTTGAATAATGTGAGCAGGAAGGAGCTGGAAATGTACATTAATGAATAATTGTTCAATTCATGTGACAGGAATAATCTTCCACTGGAAATGACAGTTGCACTGAAATGATAAAACTGCAAAGCAGACTGTAAACTTGAACCTAAAAAGCCTTCAGTCCATTTTCCTACCCAGCACCCTTCACGTAACACATCAATATGACCTATCTGTTCTGTTCTTTTGACTCAAATCCTTTGAACAAGTAGACACAAACCATGAAAAGTGGTCTGAGTTACAATGATGAGAAAAATCCCAATTCCCCCTAAAATCAAGATCAAAATATCCTGATATTTAAGGGACAGACAAACTGTTTAGCACCAGAGTTGGCTGGAAGACAAGAATTTCTACTTGCAAAAACAGTCAAAGGTTTTCTCCCATGTGAGTCAGCTGCTTAGAAGATCATATTCAGTCCTGCTGCTCTGGCCAGCCTGGGGTTCTTGTCACTTGCCTACACTCACTCCAGCTGATCAAATAAATGCATTTTGAAAGGAAGCTCCACTCCAGAACTGCCAATATTTGATTGGTGAGAGCAGTCAGCAATAAGGAAGGGAATCAAGTTTCTGCCCTGAACCATGCAGAGAAATTACTGAGGTTTTTTCCTACCAGCTCAACATGTCTGAATTTAAGAATCTGGGCTTGAGACAGCTCACAGGATCTTTGGACTTTGTGCTTCTTTGAAATATTTCTACTGGACATTCATCTTCGAGAATGAGCATTTTTAAAAGCTAATATGTAGAGAAGGAAAGTACCCATAGAAGAAAGTTTTGTCTTTGGCATCAAAGAGAATAAATTCCAGTACTGCCAGAGTAATAGTTATCCAAAGTATTGGGTTTGAGGACCATCATGCTAGGGACTCAACTGTTCAGGCCAACTCCTGCAGATTTACTAAAGCATAAATGATCATGAGTCTCCAGAGCTCTCACTAACACCTTTCTCCTCTATTTTAGCCTCTCACAGTGGAACAAATAACTATGTTTTCCTTCTAGCCAATCTGAACTAGTAACCGTAGAGTCCAGACACATGAGCACAGGGGGTATGATAACATTCAATAGTCAGGTGAAAGGGAAGACACACAGGAAGCAAAACTCTTAAAAGGCATATTCTGCAAAAAAGGAATAATAACATGAGTTTACAGAGCTCTGGCAAACACACAGTAGAAAATTAAAATCAAATGACTGAAGGTACCACATTTCTACCTATCTTGTGAATCCATCTGAAAGCTGATCCTGATACATCACAAGGGCATCTGATCTGCTAGTCAATCACTACCAGAGCATCCCTGCTGCCAAATTCATGCCAAACCTCCAAATGTAAGAAGAGACCAAAAACAATCACATGCCCAGGTAATATAGCAAGCTAGAGACAGAAAGCCAGTGCCTAAAAACTGTAATATGTCCAAACCCCCTAGTCAGGTGCCTCCATTTTTTTACCCATACTGACCTTCTCAGATGAAAAGCACATCTGTACAAGATTTTTCAACCCCCAAATGAAAACTGTCTCATTTGCAAGATGATTTGGGGGCAAACTGTCATTATAAGACCAAACACCTGTAAAGTAGTCAGTAAAGTTGCAAACAGCTGTATATGCACACTTACAGATTGCACATGTCAATCCTGGGAGGAGACAGTGGCAGTAGTTGAAGTAGGAGCTTTACTCCATTCTTCCATGCTTCCTCTTTCTCAAATTCACAGAAAAGGTAGGTACATTCATCCGCTGAGAACTGGTAGAAAGCATGACTGTCTTGAAAATAGAGTTGTCTGTCCACTGTAAGAAAAAATAATATTAGATACCCTTTAAACCTTCAGCATGTAAGGATTCCTACCACATTCTGTATTACACTTGACCTTAATGCTGAGTTATACCATCACACAGGACAAAAGGATTGAATACTCATCACAGAAATAATCCTGACCTCTCAGTTTAATTCAGTGCATCCCCAAAACTTCAATTTAAAGATCTGTAGGATCTTGAAATTCAAGCATTAAGACTAATGAGTGTTTAATAAATTTTGGAATCAGTTCAGGTTTAGGGTTTGTTAGATTTCTGAGTCTCAGTTTCCATTGGTTTCTAAACTGTTTTCACTAATGGTCAAGCACTAGTAAACAAAGTTCAGTAATGGGAACGCAGCCCATCATTATTCCAGCTTCTCCTGCAATTCAGTTCTACTGGATTTGAAGACTAGACCTGGTTAAGGAGATGTATCAATTGTCTTCCCTGAAAATAAATGGATTTAATTGGGAAAAAAGGGCAGAGTCCAAAGCCAAAAGCACAAACTCCTGCAATAAGTAATTTAGCCCTTCCTGAGGCTGCATGACCAGACATGCTGTCAGTTTAGCTGAAGAAAACCTTAAAGTACACTTTCAGTGTACATATGCAGAAATCTTTCATAAGTCCTCACAAGAAAGAGGTTTAGTGTCCAGCACAGACCCCAGGGTGGGGTATGACCTGAGCTGAGCTTCCTAAGTAGTTCCAGCCTCCAAGTAAAATCCGTCACCTATCCAGAGGCTGGTTACCAGTGTAATTATCACCAACCACATTAGCTGAACCAAATCCCTCAGTTTGGTGGGGGAATTGGAGACAACAGGGTAGAACCTGGCCTCACCACTGTCTCAAGGAGCTGGATCCTCTCTCAACCCATTGTAATTAAAAATTATGGAAAACAGAGAGGAATAGAAAATCATTATTAGCTACAGAAGTCATCTAGTAAAGCATGATCTGCCGCAACTAAACAGCTGCTGTCTTCTGAGAAACCTAAAATAGATTGAGGGGAAAAAAAAAAAAAAGGATAGGAAAGACACGCACTCTGTCTGCAACTTAATAATAGGCAATTACAGGAATGAAAAAAGGAATGAAATTGCCAAAAACAAGGGACTGATCTTTGGTATTTATGAAATGAAAGGTCATAGAAGTGAGCCTCCCAAAAAGATAGTAGGAAAAAGAACTGGCAAGAAAATTGGATCAATCTGTGCCTTTTTTCTTCCCCTCCTCTGACCAAAGCCACATCTCTGGTCCTATGCAGGAGAAAGGGATAGCTTTCCTCACACTGAATGTACTGGCAGGACTGACCTGACAATATAATGCCCATATCCAGGAGGAGCTGCCACACTCCAACTGCTGTAGATCTGCACTTGACAAAAGGGCACTGCTCCAAAAGCCAGTCTACGAGTTCTGATCCAACACAACTTCTCCTGAAAATAAGCAAAATATCACTTCTTAAACTACAGTAATGTTAAAACATTTTTTCATAATAAAGAGCTCTTTTTAAAGCTATCAAAAGTCAGCCTTTTTGTTCAGCAGAGAAAACTCTTTGTCTCAATTTCTAATTTTTGTAAACCTATTCATGTAAAGGGAAGAGATTACATTGGCAAGCCTCAGGGGATACCTCTAGCTACAAGGAGGGAACTTAAGTTAGATGAGCAAGTTCCCTTACATACCTGATTCATGTAGCATACTTTGCAATATGGAGCATTTTTATCAATTTGTGCTGCACACAGGTCATCCAAAGAAATAAAATCCAGCTTTTAGCCTCAGCCTTTTATCTCCTTTCCAAGCATGGCATAAACAGTACAGCTAAACAGTATGTGTAAGACCTTTAAGTGCTGCTCTAGGATGTACTTAATCTTTCATATTATTGGTAAATGTATATATTTAAATAATAATAAAAAAGTACTGGATTTTTCTTAAACACAGGTGTGAATGAATGGTGCTATAATAGAGAGCTGCACATTTTGGTGTAATTGAAAACAGGAGGAAGCATTTGTGCTACAATGCAGCATAAATGGAAAATCACTTCATTACAGAAATAGTCCATAAATTACATGCAGAAATCACTGTGTCACTAAATCATGGAATCCAATTAAGCTCTTTTATAACTCCAAACCATGGCTGAAATTAGTACTCTTTCTTTTCAACAAAATAACTGACAAACACTATTGTACCTGAAAACCATAAGCAATTGATTTAATGTATATACAATCAGGCCACTGCTGCTTTCTGACAACTAGCATTGTAATGTAAGAAAAGATATTAAGGTACATGAGACTTTAAAGAATTTTTTTTTAAGAAAATATTTTTAATTCTTAGTGACATACACAGAATCACTCAGAATTTACTCTCTTGTCAAACCAGAGCATAGATAAATGCAAACAAAACTCTTAAAGTTAATTAAAACAAATTATTTTGATTTACCTGCAAATGCCAGTAAGGTACACTCTGTCTTTAATCAGGTCAGAAGCTTGTAGAGTAAAAATATTCCTGAGAGCTCTCCCAGCACAGGAAGAACTTTCTCCATAAATCTGAATGAAAAGAGAAAGTGAAAACTGTGACAAACAGGATTTATTCCTGCTGTAGTAAATTGCCTTGCCACTGTCCACTCCCTCCCTTTGAGCAATGCATTCTTCACAGGTAAATGACAAGCAAACACCCAGTCTCATAGGAAATGCACCCCAGCTTTTGCCAGCTGTATCATGGGTTGCAGGTGCCCCATGAGCTGGGCTGATTTTAGATTTGCTGTCCTAGAAAAGGAGAGGTTTAACCATCCATCAGCTTTACCTTTGAACAACAGACAAGTTAGATGAAAACACACATTATTCTAGCAAAGCAGAGACATAGGAACCATTGCAAAATCACACAGATACAGTTTAAAATAAATATAATTTCCTAAGAATTTCAGCTAAATAATTTATTTCAAGCCTAATACGCACTGAAAGACTATTTCATAGTCTTTTCTTTTTGTTCAGAACCTTTAGAGGTTTCTTATGATAGCTGTAGATCAGTTCATCCATGCATTGCCAGGAGGATATTGTCTTTCAGAATGGACACAGTTCTGATTTCCCTATATCTGATTTCTGTCCTGCGCCTCAAGGCTGCAGATATGTCTGTCAAAACAGAACCCAATTCAGTCTTCCATAAAACAATGTTCCACCCAGACTCTGTGTACCTCTCCTTATTGAAGTATTTACCTTGGGCTTCTTTTGTGGTGTTTCCTCACTGCCTCTGCAAAACACATCAAGTGACACAAAGAACTAACTTGATGCTGTTTGGTTTCATTTTTGTTTGTTTGCTTCCTATGTTTAGGAGCTTTTTAAGGCATATAGAAGAGACCTGAGAGGCCAAAATCTTGTGAGATGCAAACCAGAGCTCTCAAAATACTGTAGAAATAAGCTAAACAGTGGCAATCATTTAAGTGACTGGGAAGCAAATGCACACCGGAATTAACAACAATTCAGTTTGCAAACTCAGTAATAGTAAGATGTGATTTGTAACACACATACACACACACAAAATTATAACTTATTGGCTGGATTTAACTGCAGGTCACATTCACAAGTATCTTCAAAGCTATGAGTAAGAAGCTGAGCTGAAGCAGAAGCATTCCTTGCATGCTGTCTGATGAAATAGAATTATAAAGAAGGTACACAAGTACCTTATTTGAAGGAGTTTCCAAATAGGGATTTGAAATTCTTCTGGACAGGGTCTGTAAGGCAATTTGGTAGACTGTTAGTTTTGTTATGATTTTTGCATGGCAAAAAAAATAAAGTAGCTGCAATCTAGTCTTTTAGCTATTGAAATCTTCATAAAAAGAATTTATCAAATCATCTGAATAGTCTAACATATGTCTCCAAATAATAATTGGTTCACATCAGGAAAAAGGTTTGGTAAACCCAGTTCTGTCTTTTCTATAACATTTATTCTTGATTGGGAAAAATATAAACAATGAGATGGTGAAGCCTATAGAAAACACACAATTATTGGGTCAGGAAACATCAAAAATGACAGCGAAGAATCTCAAGATAAACCTAAAAAATGCTGGGTGAAAAGACAATATCATGATGAGCTCAACATTGAAATCAGCATGTACTAGAGGGAGAAAATGCAGTTACACATACTTTTAAAGCAAACTTTATCAATTCAGTAAAGACACCTCAGGGTCAAAGAAGACTACTCTTCTAAATTAAATTCTTAACTGTAGTTAAAAGAAATAAAATTGTGACCAGCAGGGAAGTAACTAATGTAGATTAGCATTATCTCTGCAGTACCACATGTTGCACCGGTAACAGCGTCTCAGAAATGAATGCTCCAATGTCAGAGGGGAATCAGACAATAATAGTAGTAGGAATAATAAAGGATTTGGATAAATTTTTATGTAAGGAAAGACAGAAAAGACTGTGACTATTTACCTTACAAAGGAGAGATTACAAGAGACATAATGCAATTATACAATATGGCACAAAGAAAGACTAATTTTCTGTGCTCTGCTTTACTTTACATGAAAATAACTGATCACTCAATGAAATTAGAGAGGATTCATCTTTGAGGACACAGAAAGGAAAATCACAAATAAGTCTTCACAGCAGGGAAATGCAAATGGCAAAATCTTACCACTGATCAATAAAGACTAGAATTAAAAATTATGAAATTCACAGCGAACAAGAACTCTGGAAGGCAGAGACAGGATAAACATCTCCACAAGAACCAGGTTAAGCCACTCTTACTCACCATGATCCTTCCATATCTTGTCACTATTAAAAGACAAGATATTGTCTATACCGATACTTACTTGCAACTTCTAATTTACTACAAGCCACACAAGACAAAAATAAACACTGCCTAAAATAAGCCTGGAAGCGGAAAAGAAGACGTTGTAGAGGTGCACTGGCACTACAACAGGAAGATCATGTGGTGCTCCCTCACATCATTCCAACTTGTAAGCAGCATAATTAATTCCTTCCTTTGAGAAGGATCCAATTCTCACTTGGTGTATTTCAATCATAAAAAAACCCCATCATTCACACCCTGTAAGAATTACAGAATCCATATTTCAGTAACACCACCTGCTTTTTCCTCCCTGTATTTTTGTTCCTGTATTTTTAGAAAGGGAAGGGACGAGGAATCACAGAAGCATCTATCGCTGTTTACCCTTCCACGCTCATCACAAACCTTAGTGTAGTTCCATGCATTACAGCAGCTCCATATGGAAATACTGTAACATATAAGCCTAATTTCCCTCTCCTGTGCCCAACAAAGATGCTGTAAGAGTGCAACACTGCCTCGGATCCCACTCACTCTTCCTAGCCGGCATGTCATTAACACCTCGGCTCTGAAGCAGCCCTACATACCACCACTTCTCTTGGTTTCAGTCCAAGTCTTTCATTCCATAAGCCTCACTCACTGCAGCAGCACAAAGTTTATACATTGATTTCCCTGCTCCCTGCTCCTTTCCCAGGCTGGCGCTGACAGAAGACAGGGAGGGTCACCCAGGGAGAACACTGGTACTGCAGTGTGCACTTACATGACAGCGTAAGATGAAGCTCAGCAAAAAGGACAAATATGGTTGCCTTCTACAACAGGGTTGCAGTGGCGATGGATGAGAGAAGAGAGACTGACATAATCTACTTGCACCTGTGCAAAAGATTTTATACTATCCCACGCATATCCTTGTCACTAAAATGGAGAGACATGGACTTGACAGATGGACTACTCAGTGGATAAGGAAATGGATGCACTCAAAGAGTTGCAGTCAATGGTTTCATGGCTGTGTTTGATCACCAGTGATGAGTGGTGTCCCCCTGGGACCATATTATTTAATATCCTCATGTTAACATGGGAACATGGACAGTGGGATTGAGTGCACCCTCAGCAGGTCTGGGGATGACAAGTTCAGACTGATACTCTAGAGGGAAGAGATTCCATCCAGAGAGACCTGGACATGCTTGAGAGCTGGACCTGTGCAGTCCTCATGTATTTCAACAAGGCCAAGTGTTAGGTCTTGTGCCTGGGTTGGGGTAATCCCAGACATGAACACAGGCTGGGTGATGAGTGGATTGAAACCAGATGGAGAAGCACTTGGGGGTGTTGGTGGATGAAAAACTGGATATCCTGGGCTGCATCAAAAGGGGGAGCAGCAGGTTGAGGGTGGTGATTCTGCACCTCTACCACACCTCGTGAGACCCCCACCTGGAGTACTGCATCCATTTGTCAGCTGCCCAGCATAATAAAGATGGGGATCTGTTGGAGGAAGTCTAGAGGGAGGGCCACTAAGTTGATCATGAGAATGAAGCACCTCTCCCATGGAGACAAGCTGAGAGAGTTGGGGTTGTACAGCCTGGAGAAAAGAAGGCTCCAGGGAGATCTTGTAGTATCTTCCAGTATCTAAAGGGGGCCAACAGGAAGGACATAGATGGACTTTTTATCAGGGAGTGTAGTGAAAGGACAGCTAATCATTTACAGGACAGTTAATAATTTTAAACTGAAATAGGGTAAATTTAGATTAAATATTAGGCAGAAATTCCGAACAGTCTGCAAAAGGTGTCTGATGCTGAAAACCAGTAGAGAAAAAAACCCCAATCTTCTAGTTTATCATTCAGACCACAAAGTGCTAGCTCTGATGCATGGAAGACAGGAGGAATTCACAGCCCTGAAAAGGGACAAGGGAGGACAGGGCATTGGCTTTTTGGTGGTAGCCTGGACCCATATCAATGTGGAGCAAAGATGTAACATTGGAGAGACCATGAAAGTACATTTAACCTGCCATGCAGGAACCCAACCACCCAAAATTTCTAAAAGCATAAGAAAATAGAAACTGGAAAAGAGAAAATAGAACACAACAGGAAGTGGCTTTCTGGAATAGAAAAAATGATCTTTCATGTTGATGCTAGTGCAGCCTGTGTAATGTTGAAAACACTCACTGCAGTTAGGCTGAAATTAACACAGAAATTTAGAATTTTCATGTCCTAGCTACCACGATAGATTCCGTTTCCCTTTTTTTTTTTTTTTTTTTCCTCTATTCAGCAGACTGCTTTGGCTGTTGGGGACAAACTGGGAAGTTGCCTAGAGGAGAGCAAGAGGCAATGGATAAGTGGTCCAGCCCATCTTCAAAGACCTCAGCTTTTGGGTGGCTCTGTTGGAGAAGCACCACTCCTCCCTGAAGATATCTGGTAAATATAGGCTGCTCCCCCAAAATTATTTTGACACACACACACCGATTGAAAATACATTTGCAAATCACTCTAAGAATGAGCCAAAAAGTGCTTCTAAAGCAAATTAATTAGTCATCAAGCTAACAGCTCATCTCTCATGAAGACTACCTTGGAACAGTTAATGATGCCCACGCCAAGTGCTGCTTTCTAGCTGCTGCCTCCCTGGCATCCCCACGTGTCTCTTCACCAGCTTGAGAAGCTTTGCCAAGCCCCATGTCAGGGAGAGGACAGGGTTATGGCAGCACGTGTGGTGGGACAGGAGACCATATGTGCAGGAGATCCAGAGCCTTCCTCCAGAAGGGCTGTCCCATCACACATGAGTTGGTGTGCATAGGCAGCTTCATCTTCCCTGCTGGGGATGCAAGAAGAGGCAGGGAGAGGTCCTGGGGACTGGATGATCCAGAGTCTGAACTATGAACATGGCACAGGGATGGCAACATCCCAGCTTGGGGACACAAGCTGCATGTGACAGGAGAGGACAGCTGGGACAGGAGGCCCAGAGAAAGTTTTGGAATAGAACTGCTAGAATCATATCTGAATACACCACAGAAAATTTAGTCTGAAATTGGGAAACATTGTAAAGGAGTTTATTGTGGTATTAAAACCACTACAACTGCCAGGAGTAGAGTAATAACATGAAAAGAATGGGAGGATTAAAATAAAGTGAAAAGCAAGTAACTGAAACAGCCAGAAGGAAATATTTACCAATAATCTATATGATCAGCTTATAGAACTATAAGCCAAAGAATTAAATACGCCAGGTTGACTTTTAGAAGCAGAGGCTAATTTAATGACTAATCCTACTATGCAAAGTCTATACCTAAGTTTAAATTAGTATTGCTTCAACTGTAAAGTTATTTTTAAAACAAGCTAAGAATTTCTGACGTTACTTAAAGTTAAGCATGCGAAGATATCAATGATAATATTTTAATATATAGGCACAAACTGATTTTTTTAGAGGTTTGGAAAGAAATTCCCCCACAACGAAGCATACTAATGGCTCAATTGGAAAGGACAAGCTGTATCTTACTGTAAGATGCCAACTTAGATCCTTCCTTGGGAGGGTATTAAACTGGGTCCACCACAGCAACTCCCTGTGCATTTACTGCAGCCTGGTTAATGTTCTGTTCAAGAGCTAATGGTACTGTAGAGCATGGATTTAGTCATATCTTTTGGAGATACATTTGAATTTTCTCTTCATTTTTAGACCTGGGATTTTGCTTTGGCCACATCTCAGCCTGGGAGAATGACTTGCCTACAAGTTGCTTGTGCTTCGCCTCCTGCCCAAGCTGTTCCAACAACTGCTGATATTTCTGCCATTGCCAGCACTGCAGTCACAGTAGCATCAGCAATGCTCCGTACATCTGCTAGCAATTTAATCACCAGCATGCTCAGAAAGAAACAAAGTAAAAGTGCTTCGAGCTCCAGTTCAAGTGCTTTCCTCAGCTGGGATTTAGTGCAGTGGTAGCAGCCAGCAACCTGTCTACACTAGAAGTCA